CGTCCCTCTACAGTGCTTTACGAAGCCGTCTACTTGTTCCCTGCCTTTCAGTACTTCCACTCGTGCCATTTGTACTCTCCATGGTTAAGTATAACCAAAACAGTAACCACAGAAACCGCAACAATAACAATCACACAACAATTCTTATAAAAACACACAATATGCGATCGCTCAACGAAACACGTTCCAATGCGTTGCCGATGCCTATGAGTCTGCCGGTCGAGGCGCGTCTTTGATTTCATTGGTTCTACCGGCGGAGAACAATCAGCCATTATTTCCATCTCTGTCTGTGCTGTTGACCACCGCAAAGCCACAGAAACGACATATGTCGTACGCTAAAGGGCTGTACTGGAAGGAAGCCGGGATCGAGCTCTGATCACGCGTATGAGTCATTACAGTTTTAAATAGTTGTAGTAGTTGATGTATTGTAGATCACTAGGTCTGTCAAGTCTAGTTGCACAGACACCAGACAAAGTACTATTAGTAGTACTAGAACTCGCGAATCTTAAATTGATCCGAAAATTAATTTAGAGATCGGTTGTTGAAGAAAAATTGTAATTTTGGTTGGACCTAACGTTGCCCGATTTAACTTTCTTGTGTGCTTGCGTATGAAGTCTTCATCATTTGTAGCATCCATATCTTTTTCATTTGCAGGTCCGTGTCTACGCTACGACTGGTGATCTCCGAACAACTGTTCGACTATGACAACAAGCTCAAAGTACGTTGCTCATCCAACTTGTATCACTTATACCATCGCAGCTCAGAAAAGAGCATTTCGCTGGAGAGGCGGAGACACAAGCAGCACGCTCACCACACGTCCACAATGACTCCGCCCATTTTGGATCAGGAAGAAGAGCCGCCGTCTATCGCGGATCCACCTGACCGAAATACTTGTAAGTATCGATCAGCTTGGATAATCTCACACATCGGGCATGGCAATACTCTCGAACTTTTTTCCCCGGGAGTAGTAGTAATATGATTCATTTGGCACGTTTGGCAGAATATTAATAAAATACTTAAAATTAGTAAATTCAAGCCATATGATCATACGAGAGATGTCTTTTAAGCTTTGCGTATAGAAACATAGTAAGCCGCGCGGATCGAACGTCAGTACTGAACCTTAACCTCACTCTTTAGTAAACTTAAATTCAAAGTTTCACAACAATACGTGTACTCACTACAGTGAATTTTTAAGAGTCACCAAGTCATTAGAAAAATGGAACTCAATCAAGAACAATTTCGCGCCATAATTTATTACAACCTTCAGAGACAACTATCGCAACAAGAATGCCTTGCTGAGTTACTGTCTGTTTTCGGCAACGAAGTGCCACATCAGTCGACAATTTACCGCTGGTATGGAGAATTTAAACGTGGACGGGTGAGTTTTAGCGACTATCCCAGGGTGGGAGCACCAAAAACGACAGTCACCCAGGAAAACATCGATGCTGTGCGCAAGCTCATCACTGAAGATAGACATGTGACATATCGAGAGATAGAGGCGTCCTTGAAGATCTCAAAGACCTCAAAGACCTCAATTTAAAAAAAATTTACATGAAGAATTAGAAGTAAGAAAATTAGTTTCTCGTTGGATACCCCACCTGTTGACTGAAGAGCAGAAAGCAGCCAGGGTTAATTGGTGTCAAAAAACGCTTGACTGTTTGAATTTCGGAAACTCAAAAAATGTGTACAGCATTGTTAGTGGTGATGAATCGTGGATTTACTGTTATGAACCAGAAAATAGACGACAGTTGGCTGTTTGGGTGTTCCAAGGTGAAGAAAAGCCAACAAAAGTCATCCGTTCTCGAAGTGTTTTGAAAAAGATGGTCGCGACATTTGTGTCAAAAGCGGGTCATATTGCATCAATTCCTTTTAATGAGCAAATAACTGTTACTGCGGATTGGTATACCACCTTTTGTTTGCCAAAAGTTATCACCGAGCTTCCAAAAATCATCCCCGAAAGAAGAATCGTCCTCCACCAAGACAATGCAAGCTCGCACACAGCCCAAAAAACAAGGCAGTATTTAATGGAGGAAAACGTGGAATTATTGGACTATCATCCATATAGTCCCGGTCTAAGTCCTAACGATTTCTTTACTTTCCCGAAAATTAAAAATAGAATGCGTGGTCAAAGGTTCCAGCCACCAGAAGAAGCATTTAAAACTACCTACCGTGTTGTTTTATTTCCATATGCAAATCTGTGTGTTTAATTTATTATATTCAATCGGCACCAAATGGTTGGTCGGCATTTGATAATGTTGATTTAGTTAGACTTGGTGGAAATGTATTATTTTGTTGTTTATAAATGAATATCAATTACAATATATTTGATGAAATTTTTCACATTGAGCCATTTCGATTAGCTACGCATTGTTTAATTAGAGTACGGTTATCTTTATTCACTACTATTCTCATCCACTCACTTGTATGTATGTAGGGGGGGGGGGGGAGTTGCCTTTGGACAACCGATTTTTATCACTTGTTTTATAAAATTTGCAGTTTATAAAAAGTGGCATTACTATCTAGATATGGACTACTTGAACAGTACAAGAGATTTGAAGGGATGGTCGTATTACAGATACATTTCCTACTATATGGACTCAGACATCCAGAAACTGCTGATAAATATCTCACTTTATTACTAGCCTTGTTTATAGATTTCTCATAACAAATATCAAGTTTTAATTGAGAGTCGACGAAAAGTCAAATGTATTTGGTTTTTTTCTAAGAATTCGATATCTTCACCATCAATATTTATTTAAAATTTGTTTTTACCAATTAATGCAGTTTCCATTTTACTTGTATTTATCTTGAGTCTGTTAGATGCTAACCATTTTGAAACAACTTTCAAGTCTTTATTTGTATAAGAGATACTGACTGAATAATTTTGAGTAATTATACAGGATGGGGCATAGGAACCAAGTGTTTTTAGATTGGATAATACGTGGACAATGGAAAAGGGAGGGGCGTACACCATGTTACAATCAATTTCTTGGCTCAAAGCGTTTCAGTCGTTTTACTTTCAGTCGCAACCATGGAGCCATGGACGTTAGAATAACGCGTATTCCCTTAGCATTGTTTTGTTAGGAGTTACGAGTCGGTACAACTTGAATAGGAAGGATCGACATTTTTCCTATTTCTCTTATTTTAATTGAAATCGAGGGATTTTGTTATTGAAAAAGCATTTTAAAATCAAGGATCGACACGAGGCTAGACAACGTACCTGTACGCGAGACTAGACCGCGTGACGTCAGTAGCCAGACACGTGCTGTCGCCCTCATAGAGTACTTGTATCTTGTATTGTCTTGTATACGGAGTGAAGAGTATACGAATACGAATTTATATAAACTGGGATCGACGTTTGTGTACTTTATTTGCTGGTTATTGAAAAATTAATTCTTTCATAAACGGTTCCATAATTAAAATGGATTTTGTAAAAGTTTCACTTGCTTATGTCTTTGATATGCCAAACAAATGCTCAATCTTTTGTAAAGAATCATTAGTTCCAACTTTGTATAACGTTACATACACAGGGTGACTTCGAAGTTGAGTCATTTATTTTAACAGTGATTAGATCTGATCAAAAGAAATGTTTTTTTCCTTTAACATTTTTCTGGTAAAATTAAAGTAACAAAGTTATAGCCCGTTAGAAGTTTGAGTACCGCCCTGTCTCAATAATAATATTATGTGCTCGTGTTGGCAACAACGGATATAATCCGCCTTATCCGTTTTTTTGAAACGATGTTTTTACTACAATGTACAATTTTATTCAGTTGTATTTAGTCAATGTGTCCGCCGGTAACGCGTGAGTGAATAGTGGTGTTTGTTGCGTGGCTCAAACGAAATAAAAAATGGCACATGTTTACGAAAATGCTGAATGTAGTGAATGAATCTTGAATTTTAGAGGCATCCCGGCCACCATAAGGAGCCAGTGCATAGGCCGCTTAAGCGGGCCCTTATGCACCTCTATAATACTTAAATCACAAGCCTCGCCCTTTTAGCGAAGTTGAGAATCGCCTTGAGTCCAAGCTCCTTTACGTCCTGAGGGTCCAAAGTAATGGACCCCAGTATAGTCTGCCTATAGTAGCTCAGAGCTTCACAGCGACACAAAACGTGCGCCGAGGTCTCTTCCTCTACTCCGCAGCGTTCGCATAAGGGATCCTCAGCCACCCCCATCACGTGCAGGTGCCGCCTTAACGTGTTATGGCCAGACAACAGTCCCACCAGCAACCTTAGGTTGGCTCTACCCAGAGATAGGCAGAAGCGTCCATCCTTAGCACTGGGCCCTTCAATGAGCTCTCGTGCCTGGCGGAGATGTCTAGAGATACTTCTCCATTTCTGAGAGTGTTGTCTTGCAACCCACGTCTCCATTTTCCTCCTAGCTTTATGCGCGGTTACTCCTAGAGCTGGCTCAGGACCAACGAGCTTGCTGGCTGATCCTGTTTTCGCCAGAGTGTCCGCCGTCTCATTGCCCCTTATCCCAGCGTGCCCCGGTACCCATATTAACGATACCGGATGATTCGCTGCGAGGCAATCCAGAGCCTCCCTGCATTGCAATACAAGACTCGAAGTAATCTTACATGCACTTAGTGCTTTCATTGCAGCCTGGCTGTCGGATAAGATTGTTATTCTTCTCCTAGGCCCACCCTCCTCCAGAATGTGAGATACACAAGCCAGAATCGCAAAGACTTCCGCCTGGAAAATGGTGGTGTACTCACCGAGAGGCAGAGATAGCCTAGTTCTAGGTCCAGAGACCCCAGCACCTGAGCCCTCTTCGGTGACCGAGCCGTCAGTGTACCAGACCTGCCCGCTCACTTCGGAGAGTCCTCGGCTACCGGCGTCCCACTCCTCCCTCGTTGGGTACTCCACAATGAACTTGCGGTTGAAGCGATATTTAGGGGTAATACGATCACCCCTGCTTAGAAGGCCGGGGTCCTCCCTTTCTGAATGTAGTACAAAGGGCTCGTGAATCAGGTGACTTAAGACCTCATGTGGGAGGGCATGCCGATGCTCCAAGACCGCACGATCAAATTCAGGTCCGCACTGAAATACTTGTCGGGAGGATACTTTATAAAACAAGGTAACATTTTTTTTAATTTTTTTATTTTTTTTTATTTTTACACACATATTTTGGTTTATCTTCCTTCTACAATCATTATCTGAAAATTAATGACTCAACTTCAAAGTCACCCTGTATATGATGTTCTTGCAAACCATTTCGTTTGTGTAATATTTCAATAAACTGTGCGTAAGTGACTGGAATGCCATTATAGTCTGAGGTTCTTTTCTACAACATTGATAAATAAATCCCTTTTACTGCTCTGTTCGATCTCGGTAGTGAGCTGGCCAGCTTCGCTGTTACTATTTTCAGTACTGCTTCCACTGGCTTCATACGAATCAGATTCGGATGTTTCTGTCATTGCGGGACTTTCAAGATTTGCACGTTCACCTTCCACTTGCAAACGTTTTTTTTTGGCCGCTTCGAAATCTGTTTAGCAAGCGCAGGAATTCTTATTGGCGATACAGCGACATCCATTACTTTCCGTTTTTGCAAGATTTGAACTGACTTGCTTCTAAAAGGTACCTGTTTGGTTTGGCGTGTCTTGTCGCATACCTGTGACTGAACTTCTACTGTTAATGGTTCAGGCTCCTCCTCAGTAACTTCCACGTCTTCAGGCTCAGACTTTTCGGTTGAGGGTCCCGCCCGGCGTGCCGCCGCTGGCTGCAAATATTTGGCGGTGTCTTTCTGCCTTGCCCTTTTTTCGCTGAACTCTCGTTTCGTAGAGCTTAATTGTCTACCCAGTTGACATGAAAATTTATGAGGTGCAATATTAGGATTCATCCGGACTCATCTTGTATTGTAGATAGTTTTCCATATCTTCTTCCAGGGCAAAATGATCCTCGCAGCAGTACATGGTCGACATCCCACTTTTTACGTTGTGCGGCAGCTTTTGGAATACTCACAAAATTCTTCTGTGGTGTTGTACTTGACGTATCTACTTGTACATTTTGGCACAAAACACCACTTCCTGTTCGACATTTAACACCGTCAAAGTTCACAGAATTTAACAATAATCTATCGTACCAGCTCTAACTACTCCAAACCGATTACTGGGGCGTTGTTGTGAGAATGGTAAATGCAGCGGGCCAGCTAGCGAGGTGTGTCTGGCTACTGACGTCACGCGGTCTAGTCTCGCGCACAGGTACGTTTTCCAGCCTCGCGCCGATCCTTGATTTGAAATGCTTTTAATCTATCGATTTGAGTAAAAATCAAAAAATGGCGAACCTTCCTATTCCGCCGAAGATTCGAAAATCCGAGAGAATTGCATGAAAAGCCACAGCCACAGCCTTAAGGTACCAGTTTGGTGCGCGGTGACAAAATTTGGCGTCATTGGACAATACCTTTTTTTTTTTAAGAAAATGGGGTTACCGTTACTGTAACATCTGACCGTTACAGTAATACGGTTAACAGGTTTTTCATACCTGCTTTACAAAGAAGAGGTGTGGATATGCAAGATTAGTGGATTCAGCAAGATGGGGCCACGGCACATGCCGCCAGAGCATCTATGGCTATTATTCGTCGCCTGTTTCCAGATTTAGTGACATTTTATGGCTTTGCAGGTAACCTGACTTATCCACAAGCTATTTTTTTTTGTGGGAATACCGTAAGTCGCGTGTAAACAAGACCAAGACACGTATGGTTTATCTGAAGTCACTTGAAATAGCATAAAAACCTTTGGTCGGCGCGTCGTTTGTAATTTCATGACGTATCATAGGCGTGCGGTTATTTATTTAGAACGATAATAATAATGTTTTTATATCACAATAAATGGATTTTACTATTTTCTTATTTTTTTGATTTGGGATAAAAAATACTTATATTGGGAGTTTAATTTATGTTGACTGAAAGTTAAGAAATGGAAAAATTACAGAATTCCAACGTTTGACATAGGCAAATATTTACATAGCAGGTAGGTATATAAAAAGGTATATAAAGACTTACATTATAGGTATTTATATATCATCCTCGCCTTCGGAGCTGTCGCTAGAGTCATCTTGTAGAGGAATTACAACGGGATTTACAAGAGGCAAAACACAATATTCATTTTCTTTTTCAATAATATGCCTAGAACACTGCTTCCATAGATCTGTGGCAGCAATATGAGATACTGCATCTCTTATTGTGGCAATAGCGATTCACTTAATTGAGGGGTCTGATTATGTTTTCTTACTTTTTTTTAAAGCAGCCCAGACCAACTCAATCGGGTTAAAAATGCAGTAATAGGGAGGTAGACGTAATACTTCATGGCCATTTTGCTGAAGCAGATTGTCAACAACATACTCTTTCAAATTTTTGTCTTTTAGTGAGATCCAATAATATGGTTTTGGTTGATTTTTGTGGTATTTCCATTCCCTTATCCTTCATAAAATCAATAATGTCTTGTTTTTTTGTGCCTGTATTCGGAATTTTGTTTTTCTGTCGGGAATGGTATGGCGCATTGTCCATAGTAATCACTGAATTTGGGGAAATGTTTGGTATTAACTGCTGCCCTATCCACTTTTCAAATAAGTCGGAGGTCATGTCCTCATGATAGTCGGCACATGATTCTTTGATATTTTTGGCAGATAACAGCAAGGCATTAGGTATAAATCCATTTTCACTGCCAGCATGGAGAATAATGATTCGTTTTCCACGGTTGCATGGTGCATTTAAAATGCACTTGTTGCTGTCGTCAACCCAGCCGTCCTGCACAACATCATGGGTATCATACCACGTTTCATCCAGGTAAATCAGATTTCTTTTCTGCTCTCTATAGATTTTAACTTTGTGCAAAAATTCTTGGCGCAATTCAACGATTCGAGACGACTCCATAATCACCATTCTTTTATCTAATTTTTTGTATTGAAAACCATACAGTTTTACAATACAGTGCAGTGAGTCTAAGCATTTGTAATTATAAAAATCTTCAGGATAATCTTTTAATTTATCCCGTATCATTTCTAACGTGGGCACCAAATTTTCTTTATAAAATCCGTATATTATACGACGAATATCTTCCTGAAAACCCACGTCTATTCTTTTTAATTTTTGCCCTATGCGCTTTCTGTGGAAGGAATGGTTGACTACATCTCTCCTTTTTATAACCCGATAAATGGTAGACCGACTGATTTTTGTCAGGATACAAATTCTGTTTAAAATTTGATTTTGCGAGGAATCTGGATTTTCGTTTTTCAGACAATCATACATATTTAGGATTACTCTTTGGGTCTGTTCCTCTAAATCTTTATGAAAGAATTCTACCTGCACAGGTTCATCAACCATCTCCTCGTGGCTTGGAGCATTTTCCCAAGGTCTCCAAAGAGCCATATTTAGGACACACAAGAACAATCAACACAACAAGTAAACTGAGTATTCAAAAGTCAAAAACACACAAACTAATAAAATCTATGAAAACACACGGACAGACTAAAGAAATCACATTTATTCACCGCTACACGGCACTGGCTAAACTGTTTCAATTTTCAGTAGCCACCTGCACTTGTTCAGAGCTCTGAAATACACGCTTTCTCATTGGGTATGTCCACGCATAGGCGTGCTTTACTCCACGTGGACCGGTGAAACTGCCTTTGATCTTATATTTGCTGCGAAATTTGGCGATTTTTGCAGCAACAGAGCGTGTTAAATATAGATATATAAAACGCACCCGGTATTTCACAGTGTTTCAAGTGACTTCAGATAAAGTATACGTTAGATGCATTAAAGGAAGCGATTCGTCGCGAAGTTAGTCTAATAGAGATCAACTGGAAAGAGTGGAGGCAAATTTTCGAGAACGATCTCAGCAATGCGTCAATGAAAACGCTCATCACATGTGAGCTGTTGTTTTCCATTCATGAATATCTCAGATGTTTTGTTCTTACCTATATTGTGCTTCCAGTAACATTTTTTTAGAGTAGAAACTTACAATTTCATTATTATTTTAAAAATCCTTGGTTCCTATGTCGCACCCGTATAAATCAAAATATCATCAGCGAAAATTTGGAATCTGCCTACGAGTATTTTGACGATGGTAATTAAATCATTCATGTATAGAATAAAAGGTGGTCTAAGGCTACTGACCTGTGGGACACCTAACGTAATTTCATTTTTTGATGAAACAATGTTTGTAACTTGCACTCTATTAGACAAATATGTCTTATTCTAAACACTTTCTGATATACCAAATCAATTTTGTTGTTTCAAATGCTCTCTTCCACACCTAGCCTATGCAGTCGGTTATCTTCCAAAACAAAGAAAGTAATGATGATATATCCCTCGAGCACTAAGAATTTCGGACGTAAACTCACTCCACTCTTGGAATGTCCGGGTGGAGGGTGGGCTCTAGGGAACAACATTGAAGATAAAATTTGTTTTACAAGCATCTGCAGGATTAACAGCAAAATTGATGCTGAGTTTCTGGACTACCTCGAACGTTACAGCTTGATTAGCGACAGGCAGTATGGTTTCCTGCACCAACGATCCACAGGGAATCTCCTACCTTACGTCACGCAACTGCGGAGAAAACTCATCCAGTATTATGGTGAGGCCCATGTCGTTGCTCTTGACATCACGCTGCCCTCTTAAGCAAACTTCCATCCTACGGCCTCCCAGAAAAGCTTGGCAGATTGGTGGCTGACTTTAGCTCTGGCCGCAAGATATCCGTCATAATTGACGGGTTCTCCGCTTCATCCCACAACGTGAACGCGGGTGTTCCCCAGGGATCGGTCTTGGCTCCGATACTCTTTCTCTTACATATCAACGACCTCATTTCGCACGATCAACCCAATCCACAGCTTCGCTGATGACAGCACTCTACATGCAGGAATTTAGAGTGACAAGCCGATCTCTGCCGCTGAGCTGGAAAAAAGAAGGCTAGCGACGACATCCGCCTAACTTTGGCGTACCATCCTAACCGTGTCGAGCTTCGTACATCCAGAACTGGCCGATACGACCGCTTCCTTGTCCTGGGAGTGTCGAGACTGTGGAACAACCTGCAACAGGAAGCTTTTCCCAGTTCTACTAAGCTTAGGCAGTTCAAAACACGTATTAACAAAGTTTCATTGGGATCATCATAGCAGGCGTGGTGTTCCGGCGTTTACTCCTGCGCGGCTGCTTCGATACACAAAAAAAACAAAAATACTGCTATAACTTCTGAGTTTATGGTTCTTCTCCAAATCTCAGTAACCAACTGGAAAGCCGCTTCTGTGGAACAATATTTGCGAAACCCTGCTTGTTTCTACTAAAATTTTGTTTTCTCCTATCGGTTGGTCATGTACTATAAACTCCAATAAATTTTTCAATATCTAGGTCTCATAAGCGGGAACGTCCGTCTGCAGGAAGGTATCAATTGCAGTACTCCGAAGCAAATTAACACTATAACAAAAACCGTTTCTAAGTCGGTCCAACCAGTCAAGAGATAAGTGGGAATATTCATTTGCATAAACATATCAATTGCAGCTCCCCTGCATCCTGCACTACAACATCTATCTAACCATGGATTACAAATCCACCACCAACAACTTTTTCTAAATAAAAAAAGTAAATGATAATATTCATTTGTGTAAACACACGGAATTGCAGAACTCTGTAGTGCTATTCACGGTAAAACATAACCAGGGTGGCAAAAGTTAATTTCCACTTATATCATTACGAGTCAGATTCATAGACCTTCCTTGTCACTTGAGGCTTCCTTGGAAACAGAGGATTTCTCCTTGGAAACAGTGAAACAATGGCGCTTCCTTGATGAACGTTCAAAGGAGGATTTAAATTTTCATTGCACAGTAGGCTGTGACAGTTGATGTTGCTGGCCGTATCTATTTAGCATTTTGATGACAAAATCGGGACGACTTGGTTTATTTGTGAAACATCAATAAACAATGCAAAATAATAGCTTCCTCGAATTACAAAGAAGTAAAAAACTAAATATAGGCAACCAGTTGCAACAAACTGCTCTCGGTAACTGCAGATTGTAGGTTACGTCTGTTAGATTCAACTACTATAGTAATTTACAAAAAAAATCATACCCAAATTTGATATCATTATAAATTATAATGTGACTATGAAATCGAGATACTAACCAAATTTGAAGGGATCAATGAAAATATACTAAGTAACATATAAATCCGAACACCCAGTTTAAATTGTAGTTTATTTTAATAAAAGTTGGTGAATGTATTTATCTTACTGTAACAAGTGAAAAAATTTTCAGCCTTATCAGTTGGACATTCCGGTTTTTATACTGCTTTTTTTTAATTCACTAACGCTCTAAAAATGAATATTTCAGCCGCAGTAAAGAATCCACGTTGGCGGATTTTGGTTCTTGACATCCTTTACGATCGGTTACGATGCCTACAGTACGGAGACTTGTACGATTTCGTCAACTTAGTGAGTTTGATAGGGGCCGTATAGTGGGACTTCGGGAAGCTGGACTTTCTTTTCGGGCAATTGCAGTTAGAGTGCAAAGAAGTGTAGACACTGTGGTTAGGTGTTATCAGGCATGGCTTCGAGAAGGCCGTACGCAAAGAGCAAGGGGCACTGGACGCCGCCGTAGAACAACAGACCGTGAAGTTCGCCGCCTAAGATTATTGGCCTTACCAGGTCCATTGCAAATGAATGGTTTGCAGAACACGGAAGACCTATTGGCATGCGAAGTGTTTATCGACGAATGAGAAGTTTTGGCTTGTTTTCATACCGGCCACACTGGGTCCTCCCTTTAACTCGGGAACACCGACGTAATCGCCTTGAGTGGTGCAGACAACGGTCACTCTGGGATCAGGAATGGAACAGTATTGTCTTTAGTGACGAGCCTCGATTTTGTTTAGGCATGCACGATGGTCGTGCCAGGGTTAGAAGGCGACGTGGTGAAAGGAGGAATCCACAGTTTTTTGTTGGAAGACATGTTCATCACACTGTTGGAGTTATGGTTTGGCGTGCTATGGCTTATGGTTCCAGGTCACCTTTAATCTTCATCAGAGGTAACATGAACGCGCAGCGTTATATCCACGAAGTTCTAGAACCCCATCTTTTACCCTATCTTGACACCCTGGCAGATCCAACTTTCCTACAAGATAATGCCCGACCACATGTTGCAAGAGTCACAATAGACTTCTTTCAACATAATGATGTCACATTGTTACCATGGCCACCAAGATCTCCCGACTTATCCCCAATTGAGCACGTGTGGGATAGAATGGGTAGGTGATTGCTCAATTCGCAACGTCTTCCTCAGACTCTAGAAGCACTTCGAGAGGAGTTGGTGGTTGCCTGGAATGAGATACCACAGGAGAACATTGACCACCTGATCAGAAGCATGCCTAGGCGCGTTGGAGAATGCGTAGCACATCAGGGTGCATCCACACATTATTAAAGGTCAAAGGGCTTTAAAGCAGTGCAATCATTTTGAAATTTTTATCATTTACTTATTATGCTTCATCAAGTACTTATACAAAATTTTATTAAAATAAAACCATTTAAACTGGGTGTTCGGATTTATATGTCACTTAGTATAAAAACAGCAGCAAAGAAAAAGCCAAAGGTCTATAAATATGACTTTTAGGGTCTTAGAACATCGTACAGAATGCCTTCACATTTTTTATGATGGCTTCTGTTACATTGCATTTAATGTCTTTCCATATACACCTTGTACTTCGCCATGCATATTATTCATTACTATTTCGATGTTTCAGTGATCTTCGGAATATTTGACACTTCAACTTCAACTGGCATCTACAGGAGGAACAGTTTTCTGTCCATATACCTTCTCCTGATCGCTTGCTACTTTATATGCTACACCAGGTGATTCTCCAACAAACCTTAGTTAGGAGTTTTCAATGTTTCAGTAACAATTACCCCATTCTTACCATAAATGTGATAATAAATGTATTTAAATAATTTACGTGTAAGATAAATATTGTTTTCAAACTCAAAGAGATGTACCTAAATGATATTATAAACTATATGTACATAATGCAATAAAGTCTTATTTCCTGGTATTACTGTTTATTATGAATACAATCCAAACATATTAGGGTTTTCACCTCGAAATGATGATAATATAATAATAATTTATTTTTCTTCAGATAAAGTTTGTATAGAAATCGTCAACAGAGCAGCCATGCTCAGAGTTATAACAAAACCATAAATAAAACAAGATAATAAACAACATTTAATCATTTATGCATTAAAAAACTTTTCAAGCACTACTTAAATTGATCTTGATTTACTATTCCTTGTATATCCTTTGTAAGGATGTTAAAGATGTTGGAGATATATTTCCTACTTTAAGTTTTGATAAGTTTGCGTGTATATTATTCCATTGCCTCGTGGCAACTGTGTCTTTATCTTTGTTGAGAGTGAATTTGGCTTTGTTCTGGAATACGTATAACACGTGAATGTCCAGAGCAGGTACCGTAAAATTTACTATTCTGTAAAAATTTCTCCAGAACTATGGGTGTTACCTGCGCCACTGATCTAGTAATTCGATTTTGAGCAATAAAAACGTGTCATGCATCCAAAAAAGAACAAACATATACTAAGTGACATATAAATCCGAACACCCAGTTTAAATGGTTTTATTTTAATAAAATTTTGTATAAGTACTTAATGAAGCATAATAAGTAAATGATAAAAATTTCAAAATGATTGCACTGCTTTAAAGCCCTTTGACCTTTAATAATGTGTGGATGTACCCTGATGTGCTACGCATCCTCCAACGCGCCTAGGCATGCTTCTGATCAGGTGGTCAATGTCCTCCTGTGGTATCTCATTCCAGGCAACCACCAACTCCTCTCGAAGTGCTTCTAGAGTCTGAGGAGGACGTTGCAAATTGAGCAATCTCCTACCCATCATATCCCACACGTGCTCAATTGGGGATAAGTGCGGAGATCTTGGTGGCCATGGTAACAATGTAACATCATTATGTTGAAAGAAGTCTATTGTGACTCTTGCAACATGTGGTCGGGCATTATCTTGTTGGAAAGTTGAATCTGCCAGGGTGTCAAGATAGGGTAAAAGATGGGGTTCTAGAACCTCGTGGATATAACGCTGCGCGTTCATGTTACCTCTGATGAAGATTAAAGGTCGCCTGGAACCATAAGCTATAGCACCCCAAACCATAACTCCAACAGTGTGATGAACATGTCTTTCAACAAAAAACTGTGGATTCCTCCTTTCACCACGTCGCCTTCTAACCCTGGCACGACCATCGTACATGCCTAAACAAAATCGAGACTCATCACTAAAGACAATACTGTTCCATTCCTGATCCCAGAGTGACCGTTGTCTGCACCACTCAAGGCGATTACGTCGGTGTTCTCGAGTTAAAGGGAGGACCCAGTGTGGCCGGTATGAAAACAAGCCAAAACTTCTCATTCGTCGGTAAACACTTCGCATGCCAATAGGTCTTCCGTGTTCTGCAAACCATTCATTTGCAATGGACCTGGTAGTGGAGAAACGGTCCCTTAAGGCCAATAATCTTAGGCGGCGATCTTCAGTTGTTCTACGGCGGCGTCCAGTGCCCCTTGCTCTTTGCGTACGGCCTTTTCGAAGCCATGACTGACAACACCTAACCACAGTGTCTACACTTCTTTGCACTCTAACTGCAATTGCCCGAAAAGAAAGTCCAGCTTCCCGAAGTCCCACTATGCGGCCCCTATCAAACTCACTAAGTTGACGAAATCGTACAGGTCTCCGTACTCTAGGCATCGTAACCGATCGTAAAGGATGTCAAGAACCAAAATCCGCCAACGTTGATTCTTTACTGCGGCTGAAATATTCATTTTTAGAGCGTTTGTGAATTAAAAAAAAACAGTATAAAAACCGGAATGTCCAACTGATAAGGCTGAAAATTTTTTCACTTGTTATTTACAGTAAGATAAATACATTCACCAACTTTTATTAAAATAAAACCTTTTAAACTGGGTGTTCGGATTTATATGTCACTTAGTATATCTGCGTCTGGACTCCACAAGACCGTAGTATATTCCGTCAGCTGACTTTAAGAGAGAACGAAACTTAAGTTTTTGAACAAATAATGTGTAGATCCTCTAGAGTATTCAAAATAAATGCAAAATGCATCAAATCAATATTAAGCGATACCTTTGTAAAAACGGATTTTTGTGACCTTTTTCGTTTTTATGAGACCTTTGCGATTTTTTTTCATTTTCAATATTAAGTTTTTTCCAAGTTTACAGATTACTCCTCATTCTCAGGTAGAACGTCTTTTAGCTTATACAGGGTGGCGCATCGAAAACGAAGTAGACGCATTTACTGGCAGCTCAATTTTTTTTTTAAAACGCTCAGACCCGTCGATTTTGTTTTCGAGGGGGACACAAGTTTGGCAAAAAATCACGTAAACACGTGCAGCCCCCTGTTCGGGGGTGACACCAACCCTAAAATCGTAAATGGAAAGGGGGTCGAGTGATACCTTATTTTAAAGGTCTTTCAATTCCCTTTATAATGATGTAAAATACATGAGCTTCAGCTCAGTAGTTTTGAAGATTTGTTGATTTAAAGCTTAAAGTAGACTTTAATAGGTACATCAGATTAGTTTGTACTACTTTCAGAAGAAATTTGACTAAAATAATTGACTTAATAAGTAAATGCTTTTCTTCACTACGCCCATGGTTTGTTTATCATTTTGTTGTTGAAAATAGCTATTGGAGCGTTTTTTTGTGGCAAAAAAGTTATTTCTTGAAGAAAGATAAGCAAATCTCGTACTTATTTTAAATAGGAATATCGGCTGAATAATCCGGATGACATTTTCCACCAGATCTCTCGAGCAAGCTCATCAATAGACTATGACACTTTGGATTTCTATTATAGCAATAGGCGTACTAACGTCAACACTCTTTTTGAATTTCACACAGTTTCTCAGGATGTCGTTAAAAATGCACTTCTCAGAATTAAATCGCTTGCCATGGATGCTGATAGTTTAAATCTTGAAATGATCTTGTTGTGCCCCCATAAAATCGCCCCCTTCATTACAAATATAATGAACTCCTGTATTTGAGATAGAGAATTTTCAGACCCATGGAAAATTACCAAAATTATACCAATATCAAAGAAGTCTGAAATTAATTACATCTTCGCCCCATAAGTATTTTACCAGTGCTATCAAAACTAATGGAGATTATATTGGATCAACAAATAAGAGATTATTTAACTAAGCAGAATTGGTTACCAGACGATCAATCGGGATTTAGGAAAGTATTCAGCTGCGAAACTGCAATGTTAAATATAACAGACATCGTCAAAGCAACAGATTCCGGAAAAACCACCACCTTTGTCTCCGAAGTTGTCAGGTACATTTGTATGCACAGCCCTTTTTTGTAACATATCTCATTTAAATGTATTTTGCTACTATTTTTACCCAACTGTATGTAGCAAATAAACATTATTATTATTATTATTATTACACTGGACAACAAATTTTAGTTTTTTAATTGTATCTTGTGGGAAAAGTGCACTTCTTTGTTAATGAAATAAAAAAACTAGTTGCGGTTTAGAAAAAAAACTTTTTATTTTTAAGGAGATATTAAAAAAAGTAACAAGATTCATATACTTACAAGAATCACTATATGCGCTGTCTTTTTGCTGTTCTTTTATGGATCGTTTCAGGAGCATCTCTACCAAGAGTCCAACAGTAGTCTGCAAGCATGGAAGGATTCCACTTTCCCTGGTACCTTTTTTCCATTGTTGAAATATCCTGATGAAAACGTTCGCCGTGCTCATCACTTACGGCTCCGCAATTGTCAGGAAAAAAGTCCAGGTGTGAGTGTAGGAAATGTATCTTAAGAGACATATTACAGCCCATCTTTTGAAACGATGACAGCATATTTTTGACAAGGGTTTTATAGTTGTCAGCTTTTCTATTTCCCAAGAAATTAGTGACCACCAGACGGAAATCATTCCAAGCAGTTTTTTCAATACCTGTTAAAGTGTTTTCAAACTGTGTATCTTTCAAAATATTTCGAATCTGTGGCCCAACAAAAATACCTTCTTTAACCTTTGCCTCACTTAGTCTTGGAAATTTCTGACGCAGGTATTGAAAAGCTGACCCATCTCTATCTAATGCCTTGACTAAGTTTTTCATTAGGCCCAACTTGATATGCAGTGGTGGTAATAAATATTTTTTCGAATCTACTAATGGCATATGCTGTACATTTTTTTGACCTGGCTCTAGGAATTGACGAACAGGCCAGTTTTGTCTGGTGTAATGAAGTGCCTTTGCCCGACTGTCCCATTCACACAAAAAACAGCAAAACTTTGTGTAGCCTAGCTGCAGCCCAAGTAAAAGTGCAACAACTTTCAAATCGCCACAAATATTGGTCATTGGTGCTCATCGTATCTTATGCATGTCAATAGGTACTTCATATTGTCATATGATTCTTTCATGTGAACTGCATACCCTACAGGAAGAGATGGTAAAATATTTCCAATATGCAATAACACTGCCTTTAAACTCAATGTTGAACTGTCTATAAACAATCTCCGTTCTTCTGGGTTATAGTTTATATTTAAAGCCGCCAGTAAGCCGTTAATGTTACTGCAGAAAACCCAGTTATTCTCCATATTGAAAAATGGTTCTAAGTCTTTGTGGCGTTTACGAAAAACACATACCGAAACATCGTCTTCTAACAGGTTCCACTGCTACAGTCTTGATCCAAGTAACCCTGCCATACATTTTGGAAGTTCTAAATCTCTTACAAGATCATTTAATTCTGACTGTGTTGTTTTGTGCGGTTGGTGGCATGACGTGCTCGGTATAAAATCAGGATCTCTTGGCGTTGATGGCATATCTTCTTCCTGACGAATCACTCGATCGCCATGATCTGATTCGTTTTCTGATTCGCAAGTGTAGGATTCTGGGGGTTTTGGAATAGGATTTTCGTCACTGTGAGGCACAGGTTTCATCGCAGATGGTATGTTTGGGTAGTTAATAACCGATTTTTTTTCTTGAACATACCTGTGGCTTGTCCAACACAAGGTA